GTGGAAGTAAACATGTCTCCAAACCCCACATCACACACTCACAAACTGAAATCATGTGTGTACACTGTATAATCAGTGAGCCTCAAATATCACATTAATTTGTAGCCACTGTATGAATCATGGCAAAGTTGGGTCCTGTTTCCATCATCGTGTGGGTCGAACAAAAAATATTAGATATATAGAGCCTCCAACAATGCAGCCAATGGCTGCAGGATGAAGTTGGTGAAGAGGAAATGCAGAAACCTGTAGTCGACTGCAGTCAAAACTTTATGACCTTGTAAAGTTCATGCAGTCAGCATGTAGGCACAAGTCGGACAATTTTTATCCCCATAATGCAACACACTTTGAAAGGTGGTGACCATTGACAAAAGTGATCCGCTTGAACAGGCCCATAGTTTCTAAACCAAGAAGTGCATCATCGCAAGACTTCCGGGAACGCTTGCGAAACAGACCAAGCAGATCAGGCCAGTGACGACCGGGGTTTGGGGTTTGCGAAGTCATTTAGAGAAGTGAAAAATTCTTCATTGTTAATTTTCTCAATCTAAAGGCACAACCTAGATTCCAGCCAATGTCTTGAGTAGTTGAACATGTTATTATACCTAAGGAGTGCCTTGGATTTGACAGCCTGCATATGCACAGTTCAGCGCGAGACTACCGTTAGACAAGGGGCCAGGGTTCCAGTCTAGAAGCACAGTTTTGACTGCTCCTACAGTTTTGCTTCGGTACTGCAGTTTAACTGATGCCAAGCCCAGAAAGACAACGTCCATACACGGCCAAATAGAGAAGTCAGGTTTGAACATTCCTTTTAAGACACTTTAGTCATCACCTTTGTGCACAAAACATCCATTGAGTTATTCAAATAATTGTCAGTGAGGCAGATTTTATTTTTTTCTTCCATCACTCAGCCGAAGATATTAAAATTGTATATTCATCCAATGTCTGCCATGTTTTTGGATGACGTGATGACGTTGTCGCTGCTCGCGCTGCTCCCTTTGCGCACTGAGTTCTAGTGCGCATGTGATGTTGGTCCTTATAAACAGGATGCAACCTGGATATAGACTGTCCATGAAACAGCATATGCAAAGGTCAACGTGAGTACCTTGAAAACAACGGTCGGACATCTTCGATAAAGTCTCCAGTTCTTATTATACCTCAGTGCCGTTAGACCCCATGACATGTTTCATCATATGATGCATCATGCATGCTTTATTTCTCTATTATGAAAGTTATATCTCTTGAAAACGTGATTGCTGACTATATCAACAATGGACTAATGAAACAAATACCAAATAGATAGTTTTGGGGTAGAATTTTCCTTAGCCACACTGCTAACCTTATGACTAACCTTAAATAAAGACCAAAAAGCAAATTTTTGTTTTCATGAATTTTTAAGATGTAGACCATTTTGACTTTGTGGTTGTGGTAACTAGTGACAACCCTCGTACTGCTGCAGCTGTAGCTGTAATCAATGGGTGATGCTTCAGAAACAACCTGAGTCAACGGGCGAATTCAAGCGGATCACTTTTGTCAAGACATTGACCAACTGTCACCGACTTTCAAAGTGTGTTGCATTATGGGTATAACAATTGTCCGACTTGCATGTCGACTGCATTAACTTTACAAAAATCATGTGATCAAAGGTCATGCAGTTTCTGAAGTAATCATTACCATATAAATACCTGCTATGCTGATGAGTGACATAGGAAGCAATGTGAATTATGTGTGTTTATTAGATTAATTAAAAGTGACAAGCCATTCAGACCAGCCTTCCTGATTGAACTTTCGTAAACTATATTTGTGGTGACAAGAACAGCACATAAAACCTCAGCTGACATTCTAGGAAAAGGTGATATTTATTAAAATCCCAAATAAACATATTCACACAAATACATATTGGTTAAATATGCAAGAATAGTTATTCACCCCTCAGAAAATGGTTAAAAGCATTAGAAAGAGGTCACACATTCTAAAAAGCATGTTGATGATCTGCTATTTGGGCACTACACCTTACTAATAACTGGTTATTAAAGAGGCACAACATGCCACACCTCAACTTCACTTGTTTCCTCATATTTTGGGAAACATCCCATTCAGTGGAAAGGTTCATCATAGAAAATAATGAGAAATAAATTGCACACATGTACAGAACAGATTGAAAAATTATTTTGTGCATGTATCTATAAGAAGTAGTTGTAAACTGAAAAATAATCTAGAACACCAATGAAGAGAGCGCAACCCCTTGTGCACCCACTAACTTTAGCCCTAGCAGGGATAAATCTGTAAAACTGGAGGTAGAAGTATATTCCTGAGAAGTAGAAGACAAAAGCCTCATTTATACTCTGAATTTCCAAGTACTGTACATGAAAACAAAATAGTTAACAAAACCAAGGCCGGTATGTCAACCTAGAGCTTCCCCAAATCGCACAATACTATTATCGTCATTAATATTATGACTATTATTATTAATATTATGATAATGCATGTCATCATGTAATCTCTGTGCTAGGTTTCTATATCATATTTTTTAAAGAAAGAAAGAACTTAAACGTGAAAACAAAGTAAGTCATATAACCTAGAGCCATCCAAAGCCTTTTCAGAAGTGTTATATATACAGATTAATTCATAGAAGAATTGTCACAGCATAAGGCATCTTGTAATTATAGCAGATATTTTCTTTTATCATAACATTTTATTTTATTTAATCTCCACATATGTTTTGGTTGTCCCTGCGATATACTATCTACCAAACAAATAGCTAAAGCAAGTGGTAAGTCTCATATCATAATATCAAGGCTGAAAATTAATGGAATGATTCTGATTAGAAATCCAAAAGTATGCCTCTTCCATGATAAGTAAGTCTCTTGAGATGAAGAAATGGGGGGGGGCCTTGCAATCAAATATAAACAGGGGAAAGGCAAGTAATTTTATTCAAGAGAATACTACTGTACGCTAGCTATAGGGCCCCCAAAATACACCATATCCATCCCTGAAACTGTATCTGATTGTGCGCTGTAACAAATAAATCCACCAGGGGGCAGCATCACGGAGGCATAAAATAAGTATTCCTGACTGAGGCTTCCCTGGTCTCCATTGCATGTTGCCAAAACAATCCAAAGTAATTATCATCAGCTATGATAGAGGAAAGATTAATGGTGTAATATGATTGTCTGCATTAATCTATCCTTTTTGGGTTATTTACCAAAAGCCAAATTCCCTGACCACAATCTCTGTTATCTCTGTCAATGCATTGTACAGTATAAACCCTAGTCATGAAGCTCAGCATAATATATCACACTTTAAGGTATAACAGCAATATACTACTTCATTAAGGTACTGTGTAATGATCTTACAAGATATTTAGTCAAATCATAGTCTTTGAGGTAGACTATGATTTGTGGACAAATGGATGTGCAGGGGGAAAAAACACAAGGTATACAATGTTGTAACATCTCCTGATTGTCACTACAATGAAGTCAAAATCGACCCTCGCTGAGGATTCTGAATTGGGAAAAGTACTGAGTGAATCCATGTAGTTTCTTGAAGATGCAGAAACAGCCTTCGTAGTAGCTGTGGTACCTTAGCAGTTAAAATGCAAATATTTCTGAGCGCTGGAAATCAATGGATATCTGATAAAAATAGATATTTTCTTAATGAGCAGATGCTCAGATGTTGCCTTGGGGACAAGGAGGTCAAAAGGTCAATTTGAAGAGCAGCGCTGACCCAAAGACAGGAATTGATTGGCTGTTTCCACCCCCATTCTTTATATATGCAGCACTACATAATGCAAGCATGTAGCTAAATTCATAAACGCTTTGTTGTTATGAAGATGTCATATCAATGTGTAGGTGCTCTTGAGACATTATGATGACAAGTCAATTTACTTCCAACCCCAAACCTTTAAAGCCGCACTATTGCAGAGCTAAGAATTCCTGCACCTATCAATCCCCTACTAAAAACTGTAAGTAAAGACACCCTAAAGAGCAGCCAACTTCAGAGAGTGAAGATGATCCCTCTACTTATAAAAGTACAGAGGATCCTGGGTAATTGATGAGACAACCGGATAGAAAACTACATTCTACATTAAAAACTAAAACAAATGGTTTAAATGGGTCATGAAAGAAACAAACACTCAAACCAGCAAATACATTTGTATAGTGTGTAGTTATGACAGAAACACAGAGCAGTGAAATACAAAGTGATTGTTTTACAGCAAGCTGGCGGACACCTGAGAAAAACCAACATGTCTGCACATATAAGTCCCAACGAGCATGAACAATTCCTGTTGACTTCCACCAGAAAAAAAAGTTCACAAGTCTCTGTGTTCACGATGCAAGATAATCTGTGTCTGAGGTACAATTAATAGAAAATCTCAGCAAAGATTGATTTGTTTGCGACTGCATCATGCAAATGTATTTTCTTTTTCTATAACATGAGGTCACAATGGTACTTTGTTATGCCCTGAAGAAATAAAATCTTTAAAGCTTGTCTACTTAAAATAGAAGATATTTAAAGTGTTCTGCTTTATAGAATCCTAAATATATATATATATTTTTGCAATGACTATATTGTTAGTGATGATGATATTAATAATAATAATAATAATAATAATAATAATAATAATGTTACTTAAAAATAAAATAAGTTTAATTGTCAGTCAGTAGCTGTGTTAAATGTGTAAACAGTGCATTACCCTTCCAACTTATTATTTTTATTTTGTTCTTAGATAATCTCTACATTTATGTAGAAATAAATTATTCACAGGCTGTGCATATATCGTTATCATATACTGGCTCTTTGTTGGGTTATTCAAACTCATTTTGGCTAAAGAACAAAAGAGGGAAGAATATATGAGAGAACCTGAGATAGTGTACTTCAAGTGGTCTGAGTTTCGGTTTGTGTTTTGCTGTATATGTTTTTTTTGGCGTAGGCTATGTAGAAAATGAGGTTGGGTTTTTTTTTGGCTTTAGTTTTGGCATCAAAAAGGGAAAGGTCCAGAGATGTTAAGATGATGGGTTGGTTGAGGTAGGTGTGTAGGGGAACGGCTGGGATCCACTGCGCCCACCAGGGGCTTTGTTGTTACTTGATGATCCAGAGGGGCCTGACGAGGCTGACGAGGCTGCCTGAGCAAATAGCACACCTGCATGGAAACAAAAAACAGAGATGTACAGTAACATTTATGTCATTGCAAAAATAAGATAGCAAGTTGTAAGTTCAACTTGATGTGTTTTCCTGACCTGCAAAGGTCCAATGTTGACAAACAATGTTGTGAGTTGCAGTAGTAACACATATGGTAACACAAGACAGTGTAGTAGACTCTGTGACTGGTGACTCACCGGTGTACATCACTCCATTGAGCTCCACTGACATACTGATGCTGCTCATGCCATTTGTGGTGAGATTGAGAGCTGAGTCCTGCCGGCCATCTGAGAAAACACACACAGCATGTAACGTCCACAGCATTCATGGGTGATGTTTAAAGCGGCAATCAGCAGTTGAAACAACAAAGCGTTTTTCCCTGCCCGTTTGCGTAAAAAGCTGAGGGATGGGGCTGGAGAAACGTAAACACTCTCAAATTCATAGACACCGATATGGATGCAAGGACTGACCATCCATATCAACATGATAGTTTAACCATGTTTTGAGGCTATATAGTGTTTGTTTACATTCACTTTGTTTACAAACATTGGAGTAAAACATGATACTATTTCAGGTTATGATGGGGTATGACAGTTAAACTAAGCTCATGAGGCATTTTATATGTATTTTTAAAAAATTGATGTAGCAACTGCAGTTTATCCCTTTAACGTCAGATAAAAGCATCAACATCACAGGAAGATCTGTACATATGGACAACCTCACTACACAAACTTAACAGAAAGTATTCACACCCCTTGACTTTTTCCACAATTTGTTGTGTTACAGCCTGAATTGAAAATGTATTACATTTAGATTTTTTGTCACTGCCCTACACACAATACCCCATAATGTCAAAGTGGAATTATGTTTTTAGACATTTTTACAAATTAGTTAAAAACGAAAAGCTAAAATGTATTGAGTCAATAAGTATTCAACCCCTTTGTTATGGAAAGCCTAAATAAGTTCAGGAGTAAAAATGTGCTTAACAAGTCACATAATAAGTTGCATGGACTCACTCTGTGTGCAATAATAGTGTTTAACATGATTTTTTTATGACTACCTCATCTCTGTACCCCACCCATACAATTATATGTAAGGTCCCTCAGTTGAGCAATGAATTTCAAACAGATTTAACCACAAAGACCAGGGAGGTTATCCAATGCCTCGCAAAGAAGGGCACCTATTGGTAGATGGGTAAAAATAAAATAAAAAGCAGACATTGAATATCCCTTTGAGCATGGTGAAGTTATTAATTACACTTTGGATGGTGTATCAATACACCCAGTCACTACAAAGACACTGGTGTCCTTCCTAACTCAGTTGCCGGAGAGGAAGGAAACCGCCCAGGGATTTCACCATGAGGCCAATGGTGACTTTAAAACAGTTACAGAGTTTAATGGCTGTGATAGGAGAAAACTGAGGATGGATCAACAACATTGCAGTTACTCCACAATACTAACCTAAATGATAGAGGGAAAATATTCAAAAACATGCATCCTGTTTGCAACAAGGCACTAAAGTAATACTGCAAAGAATGTGGCAAAGCAATTCACTTTTTTATCCTGAATACTAAGTGTTATGTTTGGGGCAAATCCAATACAACACATTACTGAGTGCCACTCTCCCTATTTTCAAGCATAGTGCTGTCTGCATCATGTTATGGGTATGCTTGTAATCGTTAAGAACTGGGCAGTTTTTCAGGATAAAAAAGAAATGGAATGGAGCAAGCACAGGCAAAATCCTAGAGGAAAACCTGGTTCAGTCTGCTTTCCACCAGACACTGGGAGATGAATTCACCTTTCAGCAGGGCAATAACTTAAAACACAAGGCCAAATCTACACTGGTGTTGCTTACTAAGAAGACAGTGAATGTTCCTGAATGGCCGAGTTACAGTTTTGACTTAAATCTACTTGAAAATCTATGGCAAGACCTGAAAATGGTTGTCTAGCAATGATCAAAAACCAATTTGAAAGGAATAATGGAAATATGTTGAACAATCCAGGTGTAGGAAAGCTCTTAGAGACTTACCCTGAAAGACTCACAGCTGTAATTGCTGCCAAAGGTGCTTCTACAAAGTATTTATGTAAATGTAATACTGTGTTTCTGTATGTCGTTTTCAATAAATTTGCTAACATTTCTAAAAACATTTTTTCACTTTGTCATTATGGGGTATTGTGTGTAGATGGGTGAATTCCGGCTGTAGCACAACAACATGTGGAATAAGTCAAGGGGTAGGAATACTTTCTGAAGGCACTGTAAACTAATTAACTAATTGCACAACCTAATTTATAAACAAACTCACTAAACAAACAAACTTCTAAACAAACAAACTCCTTAAACAATCTAACAACATGTACTAATGGATATCTGAATAAACGAACTACGTGAACAACCCTAACAAACAAACAGAACAACCTAAACAAAGTCACTGAATAACCTAACATTTACATACTAACTGTACAACCTATTATGTAAACTGCCTTGCTGAACAACTATACATACAAACAGCCTGAACAACCAAACATCTGAGTAACTACAAAAACATAACCCTACTACTGAAGCACAGACACACAAAACCTCATAAGTTTCTGTGGAGACTCGCAAACTACTGTTAGATAGACAGCAAACACATAAAAGAAGAGTTGAGGGGGGAAAGCTGCATAGCTTTAGGGCCTTTCCATAAAATAGTATGAATTCATTTTAATAAAAACAACAAAATATCAAGGCAAATTCCCCAGCATTCTGTACTTTTACTAGACACTGATAAGAGGATAAGAAAATGCTGCTGTTGACCTAGGGAATCCCTTACGTATAGAGTCTGTATGCTGCCGGGGCACGTTGTATATGCAAAATGGGTCAATATACACAATTGTTTGACCAGTTCAAGATTGACAATTTTGCTTCACAATAGGAGGCCTGATCTACATAACATAAATCCCCCTTTAGGACTGTCCTGTAGACCAGAGTTTTCTAAGATGATGGGTTGAGAACCACTAATGGGTTGTGTTCCCAGTCCCTGGGTTGTAGCTAAAGACTGGGTTGTGGCTTAGAGATACGGTTTTGTCTAATGTGGTGGTTGTCAAGGAAAATTGAAAGGCCTTAGCTAGGTCACAATGTAAATAAGTTTGGGAACCAATGCTGTGAGTGACATACCTTGGTTATTAACCATACTAAGACACATGTTATTTTACTGAAGGGCTGCAATGGTGGCCCAATATTGCTACCTTCAAATCAAACTTTATTTAAAGTGAATCTAAAATTGCAACATGCTTTACCTTGGTTGTTGATGCGGATATTCATGGGCATCTGGGTGGTAATAGCCAGCAGGTTGTGCTGCAGCGCTCTCTGCAGCAGCCGCTGGTGCTCCTCGGCAGGCAGGGCCATCTTCTTCTCCGGGGGCTCGCCCGCCTCCAGTCTGTCCCTCAGCTGCTCCAGAGCCGCTACCTGGGCCGCCATGGCTACCTGGGCCCCTGCCGCCTGCACCACTGCCACCGAGTGACCCACCAGAGGATGCCCAGACATGCGGCCCACGCCGGACAGGGGCTGACCGCCCTCCTCTTCTGCAGGGGAGATGGAGAAGTTTAGAACAGGGTAGTGTTGGTGTGGGATGTGGTGGCATTTCAAATAAAATATCTGTTGTCTGATGCTATGGGTTACTGTTCACTTCAACTGTTCTGTTATAATCTGTATGAACCCTCCCAACACTCTGTGGTTGTGTTCGTGTTATGGGTTACTGTTCACTTCAATCGTTGGCTTTATTCATAGATCTGATATGAATGAACCCAAAAAACAATTTAAATTAAAAACAAAAAATGAACTTCCTAATTTCAATGCAGCATAATTGTCCTCTAAAGATATCTGAGCAAAACCCCTCGCTCTCCAACAACACCTTTCTTGATTTTCTGGATGTGAGTGAGAGATGCTCCGTTGGTGGCCACATTCATCCCCATGTTCTGCATGGACATCTTGGGGGAGGACAACATGGTGGGGGTCCCGTTGGGGGAGTAGGTGAAGAGGGAGCTGCCAAAGCTCTGCCGGCGGCCCTCCCGCCGGTTACTGTCAATAGCTGCCTGGAGCTCATTGGGGTTGCTGAGGCTCCTCTTGTCACATTCATATGGGTACAGGTACTTCATGTATCTGTGAAAACGTAATTTCAGTTGGTATTAGGAACATTTGATGAAATATGAAATCATTTGAAAAACACTATTACAATGGATAAGTATACCTTTAAAACAAGTTTCCAAATTATGTGTGTGTGTGTGTACGCGCGAATGTGTGTACTCACCAGGGGTTGGAACTGGTTCAGGGAATGGAACAGAAAACCGGAAAATAATTAAATTTTTCGACGAACACAATCAGAACCGGGAACGAAAGTGATTTATACTGTTCCAGAACAGAACGGTTATTTTAAAAGCATGGGAACCGGTTAATAACATTATTTTATGTTACGGCCATTGTTTTTCAGTCCCACAAAAAACGCAACAAAGCGCCTATGCAAAGTGTAGCCTACTGACGTACAAATGGGATTCAGAAATTAGAGAGATTTTGTATTAGAGAAGAATGGATTAACCTTTTCAATGCTAGTTAAGGATACTGTAGTTATTACGTTTCACATTGGATTTATTAACTACAAAAAGGTAAGACGTGTTTTTATTTTAATTCTGGTGCCGCTCTGCTCCAACGTTAAGCCAACTCTCTGAAGTTCAAAGACATTCAAAGTTCCTTCATAGAAGCCACTCCTCTGTAGGTATAATTATGTGGGACTAATTCAGATAATGTATGTCATAACTACAAGATGGCCAGCGCTTCATGCCAAGCCTCCTCCTCCACCCTCTCTCACTCCCCACAAAATGTCAATCGCATCTCACGCCCTACACTTGTCTGTTCAATGCATGTAAATAGCTTGCCCGCGCCATAGCAAGCTGCTCTATATGCACTGATTGGTGAAGTCATTTCATGTTGCGCTAAATGTAATAGATTTCAGAGGTTTTAAAAAGGAACAGAAAGGAATGATATAAACCGTTACTTTGTTTTGGTTCGAACCAGTTCAGAACTTTATTTTGCTGGTCCAAACAGTGGAACGGAATGAAAAAAATAATGGTTCTTTTCAGAACTAAATGGTTGGAAAATTATTTCAGTTCCAACCCCTGGTACTCACTGTGTCCTGAGAGTAAAGGCAGCACTGGTAATTGAGGTAGGCAGGTTGAGTCCTTTAGTGATCTCTCTCCACAGCTTCTTGTTGATGACCTCCACCAGGCCTCCCTTCTCTGTCACCAGCTGGTACAGCATGTACAGGTCCAGGACCTGCTTGGCCATGATCGGGATCCTGTTCACAGGGGTTCCTGGAGATAGGAAAAGACAACTCACTGCCTGTGGTTACACCATACTCTTTTGCTAGGTTTCTCTTTTGATAAGTTGCTATGGAACTGAGTGTGAACTGAGAAAGCTTTCTAGTAGTTTGAAACTGTTTGAACGCTTCAGGAGTACAACACTACATTCAATGGACGTGGCTTTGGTGACAGAAATGTAATGTTCTATTAGAGAAAGAGGGTTTGTTTTCCTACAGTGTCACACCTTTTCTTAGCACACAATACTTCAATACATAATAAATTGTCAATACCATGTCTGTTTTATTCTTGTTATGGTATTGGGTCTTATTATCCTTTCAAAAACATGACATCTTGAACAATTAAAAAATAACAAGGATATTTTCTCCTGTCAGTCTTTTGTAAATTCCCTATATTTTCCCTAGAGGGCAGTGTCCAATTATTAGAGAAACTATGCACGCAGATCCACCCATACATTTGTTTGAGAGCCAACATACTGTAAACATCCAATTCTGGATTTTTCACACTGACTATCTTGACATTTATTTATATTTATTGCTATTACATTCGACATGTTGGCCTTATATTTCCAAAGTAGAACTAATTTGTGTATCAACATTATACAATGTACTGTCCTGTTTGAAATGCTTGAATAAAACACTTATTGAACCCACAATGTGACTTCTGACTACTCTCCATGATGTTTCTCTGCATCGGTTTGTAGATAAAGCTGACTATCATTAATCAAATATGCTTGTGTGAAATTGCCATGTTTTGAGGCAGCAATTCACACATGGAATGCTGAACCAAACCAAACACCATAACGGAGCAACATACAAACTCTGGAGCCTAAACATATAAGTAAATACATTCCTAAGTCAATACATGCACTCTGGTGTACTCTCTACTTTTAGATGCGCTGGGAACAGTGAGGGCTTGGCCGACCATAAAGCAATCATCTCCAAATGAATAAAGATCCACCCATGGAGGTGAAAGCTGAGATGTAAGTGTAAATGTAAATGGTGTTTTGTATGTCAGTGGAGGGGGGGAGGGGCGGGGGTTAGGGGGTTAGAGCAGTGTTTCCCAACTCCAGTCCTGAAGTACACCCAACAGTACATATTTTGATTGTCGCCCTGGACAAACACACCTGATTCAACTTTTCAACTAATCATCAAACCCTTGGTGAGTCGAATCAGGTGTGCTTGTCCGGGGCTACAATAAAAATGTGTACTGTTGGGGGTCCTTGTGGACTGGAGTTGGGAAACACTGGGCTAGAGAACAGAACACTGCCTCCCAGTACTAACCCACCAAGGCAAACAGTACAGCCTTCCAGTCTCCATCGAGTCATGGCATTTACATTTACATTTACATTTACATTTACGTCATTTAGTAGACGCTCTTATCCAGAGCGACTTACAAATTTATTGGTATTGATGTGGCTCTGCTAGATACAGGGACAGAAATGTACAGTACTCTCTGGCACATACGCCACTCCTTATACAACACTCTCACCTCTCTTTTGCATGAAGCTGAATAGGTCATCCAGAAACTCTTTTCTCTTGGGGTCCCCATCTAGTTCATAGAGCTGAGGAGATGAGAAGAAGGGAGGGGGAAGAGATGAAACAGGTTACAGATGGGAGCAGATTACCAAGGGGGGTTGAGAGCCATTATTGCCCCAAAATGGAGGATGGAGCCTCAGCTTTAGAATGCCATCAAGTCGAGAGAGGAGGCCCGGTCTGATGAAAACCTGATGTGGCCCTGCTGCTATGGCCGAGAGCTCCGGAAGCTCAGTGAAAGTTAACAGTAAAAGTGGATCACATGCTCAGGAGAATACAGTGGGCTATTGAGGCAACTTTAATTGCGGTATGAAGATTGTTCAAAACAGTCTGATTCACACTCGCTGTTGTGGAGAGTATAACAAATGTGCAGCTTATAAACCAATAATGTATCCCTGAGGTCGAAAGAATACACATTTTTTAACCATTGGGTTCTAATTCTCCTTGAAATTATATATATAAACCTGCTACACAAGGTTGTTCATCATTACAACAGATCGGCCAGAGCACACAATGTAAAACTCTATTCATGTTCTTGATTTGGGAGTGCTTTCTCCAGGCTCTTGCTGTGTAACCACAAACAGGCCATTCTCTTTGTGGCATTTAGTGCTCATTAGTGATGCCAAGCTGCCGTAAGATCTTATTATCAGAGGGATGGGGGGCTGGATGATTAGGCGGGGAGAGCGGTAATGTAAGGCTGGAGGCAAGGCGAGTCCTAATTACAGGATGCCTGCATTTCGAGGAGTGCCGTGCCATAAATCTTCAAAATGGCTCCCCTCAGTCTCTCTCGCTCTTTCTCTCTCTCACCAGTTTGTAATGGATCTCCCCCCATGCCTCCCTGCACTTCTTCCTCCTCCACAGCGCAACCAATGTGTTCTTCCTTTTCCTTCCAACCAATCCACACCGGTCTGCTCTGCCAGCATTCCTACTGTAGGCTCCTGAGATAGGCCTACCCTGCCTGGGAAAATTGCCTTGACAATAGAACTGTCTGGACAAAATAAGATCACATAAGTTACAGCAAACATAAACAAGAGGGCATATCTGTTTGATGCCACAGAGAATCTATGTAGTCAATAGGGAGATGTGTGTGCTCTCTTCATCTGGTATAGGATACCTTTTGGCTTCATAGCTTAACCAGGGGTCTGAGACATGCTGCCTGGGGGCCCAATTGTATCCAGCAATTTAATCTAATGTGAACCTCAATGAATTCAGTCAATTCTGGTTTGGCAATGTGGTAATTGCTATACTGTGAGCCTTTACTGTATATTGAAAATATACAATATGCCAAAATTACTTTGAGGCCCCTGGTTTAGACTGAAGATTGCTAAGCTACAGGACTGTTTTGCTAGCACAGACTGGAACATGTTCCGGGATTCTTCAGACAGCATTGAGGAGTACACCACATCAGTCACTGGCTTCATCAATAAGTGCATCGATGATGTCGTCCCCACAGTGACCGTACGTACATACCCCAACCAGAAGCCATGGATTACAGGAAACATCAGCACTGAGCTAAAGGGTAGAGCTGCCGCTTTCAAGGAACGGGACTCTAACCCGGACGCTTATAAGAAATCCCGCTATGACCTCCGACGAACCATCAAACAGGCAAAGAGTCAATACAGGTCTAAGATTGAATCATACTACACTGGCTCTGACGCTCGTCGGATGTGGCAGGGCTTGAAAACTATTACAGACTACAAAGGGAAGCACAGCCGCGAGCTGCCCAGTGACACAAGCCTACCAGACGAGCTAAACCACTTCTATGCTCGCTTCGAGGCAAGCAACACTGAAGCATGCATGAGAGCACCAGCTGTTCCGGACGACTATGTGATCACGCTCTCCGTAAGCCGATGTGAGTAAGACTTTTAAGCAGGTCAACATTCACAAGGCCGCAGGGCCAGACGGATTACCAGGACGTGTACTCCGAGCATGTGCTGACCAACTGGCAAGTGTCTTCACTGACATTTTCAACATGTCCCTGACTGAGTCTGTAATACCAACATGTTTCAAGCAGACCACCATAGTCCCCGTGCCCAAGAACTCTAAGATAACCTGCCTAAATGACTACCGACCCGTGGCACTGACGTCTGTAGCCATGAAGTGCTTTGAAAGACTGGTCATGGCTCACATCAACAGCATAATCCCAGAAACCCTAGACCCACTCCAATTTGCATACCGCCCCAACAGATCCACAGATGATGCAATCTCTATCGCACTCCACACTGCCCTTTCCCACCTGGACAAGAGGAACACCTACGTGAGAATGCTATTCATTGACTACAGCTCAGCATTCAACACCATAGTGCCCTCAAAGCTCATCACTAAGCTAAGGATCCTGGGACTAAACACCTCCCTCTGCAACTGGATCCTGGACTTCCTGACGGGCCGCCCCCAGGTGGTAAGGGTAGGTAACAACACATCTGCCACACTGATCCTCAACACGGGGGCCCCTCAGGGGTGCGTGCTCAGTCCCCTCCTGTACTCTCTGTTCACCCATGACTGCATGGCCAGGCACGACTCCAACACCATCATTAAGTTTGCCGACGACACAACAGTGGTAGGCCTGATCACCGACAACGATGAGACAGCCTATAGGGAGGAGGTCAGAGATCTGGCCGTGTGGTGCCAGGACAACAACCTCTCCCTCAACGTGACCAAGACAAAGGAGATGATTGTGGACTACAGGGAAAAAAAAGAGGACTGAGCACGCCCCCATTCTCATCGACGGGGCTGTAGTGGAACAGGTTGAGAGCTTCAAGTTCCTTGGTGTCCACATCACCAACGAACTATCATGGTCCAAACACACCAAGACAGTCGTGAAGAGGGCACGACAAAGCCTATTCCCCCTCAGGAGACTAAAAAGATTTGGCATGGGTCCTCAGATCCTCAAAAAATTCTACAGCTGCACCATCGAGAGCATCCTGACTGGTTGCATCACCGCCTGGTATGGCAACTGCTTGGCCTCTGACCGCAAGGCACTACAGAGGGTAGTGCGTACGGCCCAGTACATCACAGGGGCAAAGCTCCCTGCCATCCAGGACCTCTATACCAGGCGGTGTCAGAGGAAGGCCCTCAAAATTGTCAAAGACTCCAGTCACCCTAGTCATAGACTGTTCTCTCTGCTACCGCACGGCAAGCGGTACCGGAGTGCCAAGTCTAGGTCCAAAAGACTTCTCAACAGCTTCTACCCCCAAGCCATAAGACTCCTGAACAGCTAATCATGGCTACCCGGACTATTTGCACTGCCCCCCCACCCCATACTTTTTACGCTGCTGCTACTCTGTTAAGTATTTATGCATAGTCACTTTAACTCTACCCACATGTACATATTACCTCAACTACCTCAACTAGCCGGTGCCCCCGCACATTGACTATGCAACGGTACCCCCCTGTATATATAGCCTCCCTACTGTCACTTTATTCTATTGTATATATAGCCTCCCTACTGTCACTTTATTTTTACTTCTGCTCTTTTTTTCTCAACACTTTTTTGTTGTTGTTTTATTCTTACTTTTTTTGTTTAAAATAAATGCACTGTTGGTTAAGGGCTGTAAGTAAGCATTTCACTGTAATGTCTGCACCTGTTGTATTCGGCGCATGTGACCAATAAAATTTGATTTGATTTGATTTGATTTGATTTGATTTGATTGAAGATTGGCATGAGATTAATGTCAAAGGAAAGTTGATTAGCTGGGCCAAGTCATAGCAAGGGGTTTGGCGTACCAGTGGCGGGTGAACAAGACAGTTGGAGAGGTTGAGGGGCAGCAGCAACCACTCTGAACAAGATTACCAACACCCTCCCTGACAAACAGTATCAATTTATTTAGGCAAAGCCATAGAGCATGCTCCTCTCTCTTCAAACAGTTAACTTTCCTGACAAGGTACTAGAGAAACTCACCAATCAGGTTCCCTTCCCCACTTCCCCCTCTCTCTATCAACCACCACTCCCTTTAGTTGGGCCCCTCTCTCTCGTATTACTGGATACAGCTGCATCCTTTTCCTAGGAACCTCTTAGAGAACCCCCCCCCCCCCCCCCCACACACACACTCCTCTAACCCCCCAAACCAGATCCCCCTCCCCCACATACCTCTAGTAGGAACACATCTGTTTATCTGGGTTGGGTGGGGTTTGGGGGCTACAGGTTTTCACATCAACCTAAATCTATAGTACACACACCGATAGGGCGTTGACCGTCTCCTTGTGTGCGATTGTCTCGCAAAGAGCTGTGTCAATGACCAAAACGTTGGTGGTGAGAATTAAAATTGTTACATACAGTACATGCCACTGCAGAGGAGTTTTACGTGTGCCCCAGTGATACTGCAACAAAGCAGGCAGGCGTTTTAGATGGAACTTTTAGTAGCAGGGAGTTTTAATGTGAGCAGGTTTCCTGCCAGCACAGATTTCCTTAGATCCACCCAGAATGTTACAATGTGAATAGGCAAACAGATAGTCATAGACCACTTCAATGCATTGCCTGTGCAAACTACATCAAATGGTTGAGCACGCCATGTTTATTTGGCTGTTTACGATGTTTCTTTGTTCGTAACTCTTGGATCATTGATACAAGATAAGCAACATGTTCATTTCTGAATGCTCTAACTACTGTGTGCAGGTCAAGCTTGTTGTTTGCCTGTTGGGTCAAACACACACACAAAAAATATTGTGAATAATTCCAGCACAGGTAGCCAATCTTACTCAAACAGGTTAAGAAAAACAACAGCAACCGGAGTCCCATCATGTCACCGCGCGAGAAGTGTCACTTAGCACATAATTGGGCCTAGCTATTGAACCCTATCCCCACATGGACATTGAGAGGGAACTGCATTGAGCTGATGTGTCACACGAGCTGATGCCTATGAAACACTTACCCATCCTTTCACACCTGACAATCACCTCCGGGCAGGGCTGACACACACACACAGGAGTAGGGGAGGGGAGGGAAAGGTCAGGAGGGGGAGGGGAGGGAGCGAACATGCAGCTTGACTTCACCAGTGTGAGAGGGTTCTGGATATGGTTTGTGAACATGGGT